CCTCTGACAGTCTCTTCAGGATTAATATTTTACAATCATACAGTCAGTTTTCTTAATAGGCGGAAGAAAGGTGCACAGGAATCCTACTTTCAAAATCTCCATAATGCGATGCAAGAGGAGGTTCTGGGTTCTCGAATAGGTCTGGTTTAAACAGGAATGTGTTTCTTGCTGTTCCTTATTTCCAACCTATGGAAACACCTCTCCGTAAGGCCCTGTCCAAGTACAACATACGGGTGGTCTATACGGGTTCGGGTAACTTAACTCATATTATCTGATTGGGAAAGGACTCTATAAATAAGTTAAACACGAGTGGCATAGTCTATAAGATAACATGTGGGTGCGGGATGTGCTACACTGGCCAAAGTAAGAGACACCTACGTGTACGTTTGCACGAACACGAACGTTACATAAAAAACAAGGACCAAAGGTCGGCCCTCTACTGTCATTGCCTGCAGTGCTTCGAATTCGAGAAAACAGTCATTCTTGAACGAGAGCCTAATAGGTACAAACGCGAATTTTCTGAAATGATTTTTATAACATTAAATAATAATAATGTTAATAGAAAATTAGATACAAAAAAACTTAAAAATTTTTATAAAAACTTTATATTTCAAATAAAAAATAATATAAATATCAAATCATAGGTTACAAGAGTAAATTTTTGTATTAAACAACCTAGAAATTCTCATATTTGTTATAATTAGGTTATATACAATTCCACATAACTTTCTACATCCTTGGCGGTGCTGCCTTCACGGCTCATTGTTCTCTATGTGACGTATAATAAGTATGTGTACCGATCTTGATTGGCTTTTATATTTTACTTGTCAGCGCGGCCTCAGTATGACTTTTCTAAAAAGATTTTTATAATAATAACTTAATTTTTAAGAACTTGACTGTTATTAGAACTAATTAAAATGTTGCGATATGTGGACGAAGTAATAGGCGCCATAGGTGTCCATAATGGGTGTTGTCTTGGTACCTGCATGGTATATTGTATGCGTTATACTGTATGTATTTTGTTTAACTAAGTTGCATTAAACTTCCACTAAGTTTTATTCTTTATTCTGAATGATTGTAGAGTATTAATCCTGAAGAGGCTGTCAGAATGACAGCGAAAAATTGAATTATGTAATTTAATTATGAATAAATAGTCATGCTTTACATTACCAAGATTGAGTCTAAATGTCATTTGATGACAAAGGAGCAAGTCTAGGGAGTTTGCAGATATGTATAAAAATTTAAATTTAGTTTTTAGAATAAAAAAATAAAAAATATCTATAGTCACTTTGTAAATTTCAATAAAATGTCGGTAGGTCTATACGATTATGTAATTGAATTTAATATTTAGTATTAAATATAATTTAATATAATTTAACCTTCTTTTCGTCCATATGTCTTTTAAACCATGCTACACTGCACTTTATTAAGTGTATAACCTTTCACTTATATTCACTTTACTTTGACACTTACTATCTGCAACTCTTTATCTTTTTCTCATGCAAACTAATTCTCTTTTATGTTTTTTTCCAATTACTCTTTTCAGTATTTATATTTCTTTGGCAACTTCAAAAAATGTTTTGTTTATTTCTTTTCCATTCTTAGATTTTTTACACACCTTCAATATGAGTTAAAGGTTCCCTAGTTCTTTTTTGCAAACTCTACATTTTATATCCTCTTCTTTATGCTACTATTTTTCTTTACATTTACTTTCACAACGAAACTTTATGACTATTTTCCTGTCCTTCTGTGGAATTTCTGTTTTTAGGTTTATTAGTTCATGTTTTGTTTTTATATACTTCTTTTGTAGCTGTTCTTAAATATTATTTTTCCTATACTCCATGCATTTATATAATATATCTTGAGTATCTTATTTCATCGATATCGGCTAATTTTTCACTTTTCTTGATTGTTTACAGTATTATTGGTTCTTATGCTTTGTTTTCTTGAGTCTTTTACCATAACTTCTTTTCTGTTTTGCCTTTCCGCTTTTTCATAAAATGTATTCATAAATTCTCTATTCCGATATTCTTTTTTATCAATTTCTTTTTTTTTTTTCTAAATCTAATTATGCTCTTTTAAACTTCTTGTACTGATATTGCTTTTCTCAAATTTTCTTCTTCTGTTGTTTCAAATCTCTTTTTTTTTTTACTCGCACCAGTTTTCATACTCTCTTTTCTTGCTCATAAAATGGTTTTTTCAATTATTCTTTCTATATTCTTTTTGTTTACTTCTTTTTCCAGAGTTTTATAACTCTTTTAAGTTTCTTCTTTTTTATTTTTCTTTCTTTATCGTATCATTTCTCCCAGTTTTAACTGTTTTTGATAATTTAAAGTTTATCTTTTTTTAATTTTTTATTGATTGTAGGTTAAAAGGTGATTTTCTATATCTTTAAATGATAAATCAGATATTTCATTTAAGGACAAAGTAACATTTATTATCTTAATTTATATTCAAAATTTGGGGTTTTCTGGAAAATCAATTAATACTATGGATGTCTTCCTTACCAACCACCTTTAGTAGTCTTCCTATTGGAAATTAAGCCTAACCTTGGCTGCCAAGATCCTAATATTGGCCCAAGCTTGTCAGTGAAACGGTGCGTTGGTCAGGGTACAACTTGGCCTGACTTGGCTTGACTACTCCTAAGTTACTGCTAGAATGCGTTTGAATATGTATGTAATATGAATAGATATTCAACACGAAAATAATGTCTGTATTTGCCTTGCAAGAATTTTGGTGAATATATCTATTCATATTATAAACATGCGTGGACTGATATTGGTGATGGCTTGGAAGTAGTCAGGTCAAGTTGCACCCTGACCAGTGCACCATTTTATTGCCAAGCTTGGACCAAAATTGGTTGCCTGGATTGATCTCAGCGATCAAGCTTGGCAGCTTGATTTCTTTTCCAACTGGGTTGCTGTTTTCCTTCCTTCTTGCTTCTTACAACTATTAGGAAATTTTGAACCTACTATACCAACTTGATAGCTGCTATCAAGTCCGGCTTTTTGATCGGTTTGACTCGCTATTTCTTTTTTCTTTTGCCAATTTCCTTCGTTTCTGACTTTACTTAGTTTTACTGAACTTACCACTTTTCTTAACTTTTTCACTAATTATTAACATTTTTTTAGCACTTATAAGCTTATTTTTATCTTACTTTAACTGTAATCTATTTAGTTAGCACTCATTCTGTTTCTTTCACTAACTTGATGTTCAATAACTTTACGTGCTCTCACTGTCCATCACTTTCGTGCCCTCTTATCTGTTATAATCTTTCGAAATATTTATAACTCTACTTTCATTGCCTATTTTTTATCACTTCCTACTAATTTATTTATTTCTCTATCTATTGATACCTGTAATTAACGCGTTAATATATAATATGCGTTAATATATAACGCGTTAATATAACAGATAACTTCTGAACGCGTTACTATTTCTTAACAAACTCTCTGAGGCACGTCCACTCTCCTACACGTTCACAACGAAAGTCTATTATTTTATATATTTATTTTCATATTGTTTTATTGATTCTTTAATTGATTGTTACAGTTAAAGAGGGGTAAGATTGTCAAAGTGAGCATTCACTATGTGAAATGCTTAGTACAAAATTTAATTTATCTATAAATACATATAATGGCTGCTTGTAATACTTGACGTAAACAAAAATAAAACTTTAACCAAATAATTTTATCATAACGTAATTGATAGTAGTCAAGTATGTTGATAATGTGATACTACCATCGTTATATCTTGAATCACGAGCAGGTTAAAAGATACTGTTAATGTAAATTTTCATTAAAATTTCAAAAGTCAAGACAAAAAATAAATCAGCTTAATTTTTTACTTCATAAGTTAGTACTGGGTAGACGGGTCAACATTGGTGGCGTCGTGCTGGATCAATGGCAAAGGAATTTTTTTGCAAAAATATTTTCATTAGATCCAACAGATTAAGAAACTTCATGTTGCCACCGCGCAACCTGGTCTCAATTTGTTTAAACTAACTTATTTTAAAAAAATTAGTAAAAGTGATTTTTTCGATCTGAAAAAAATATATTCAGTTTTTTTGAGTCATTCTAAACAAAAAACTAATTGGGATGTATATACCTAAACCCCACAGTTTTCGAGCAAGAAATTCCCAAAGATCTGAAAATTGCAAATTTTTCAATTTTCATAGCGTTGGTGAGGAATCAAAATAAAACATTTTTGGAAGGTACACCACCGAAACATGAAGTGTTAACCTTCCACTACAACTTCCAAAAAACGACAATTGAAAAAAGTAATGGAAACATTGTTTTTTTACAATAAACATTTAAGCTGTTTCCGCGCACGCCCGAGCTAACTCCCAATACTAGTATATGCCTATATATATCATCGACGCGGCCAGCGCACTCGGGCTCGCATCGATGGCTCGATGATATATATAGTTATACACTAGTACTGGGAGTCAGCTCGGGCGTGCGCGGAAATAGCTTAAATGTTTATTGTAAAAAAACAATGTTGCCATTACTTTTTCCAATTTTCGTTTTTTGGAAGTTGTAGTGGAAGGTTAACACTTCATGTTTCCGTGGTGTACCTTCAAAAATGTTTTATTTTCATTCCTCACCAACGCTCTGAAAATTGAAAAATTAGCACTTTTCAGATCTTTGGGAATTTCTTGCTCGAAAACTGTGGGGTTTAGGTGTACACATCCCAATTGGTTTTTTGTTCAGAATGACTCAAAGAAACTGAATATATTTTTTTCAGATCGAAAAAATCACTTTTACTAATTTGTTTAAAAAAAGTTAGTATAAACAAATTGTGACCAGGTTGCGTGGTGGCAACATAAAGTTTCTTAATCTGTGGGATTTAATGAACATATTTATGCAAAAAAATTCCTTTGCCGTTGATCCAGCACGACGCCGCCAATTTTGACCCATCGAGGGAGGTGTATCCGCAGCCAATAACAAATGCACCATGTAAGTGTATATTTAAACATTAATAAAGATTTGTAAACTTACTTTCAAAACATTGAATTTGTGGGTTTCCAGCTAATCCTTGTTGGCAGTGGCAAGTTGGATGATGATGAATAGTAATACACTCAGCATTCAAACCGCACCGGTTGTTCATACATGGGTTTTGGCATAAGTTGTTAATGCAAGCTTTTTCAGCTGGACATTCAGAATTTGATGTACATTCTGGATGAGGTATTGTATCTGTAACTATAAAAATATAAGTACAGTTATCACTAAAATTATTGTCTATGACAAATTATTATTTTCAATTAAAAATATAATACCTGGATAACAGTCGATGTATGGATCTCCAACAAATCCGGGTGTGCATTCACATACGTGGCGATGATTTTTTACTTGACACTCAGCAGTGTGTGCGCAAGGATTGGCAAGGCAAGGACTGACACAATGTCTATTTAAACAAGCCTTATGGAATGGGCAATCGGAGTCTGATCGACAGTAATCATCTATCGATGTATCCACTAAGTAAAATATAACGTTATTCTTATTATTATTATTATTATTATTGTTATTATTATTATTACTATTGTTATTTACATTGATAAATTAAAATATAGAAATAAAAGTTTTAATATTTGACAAACATAAAGTAATAAAATGTAGATTGTTCACCATACCCTTAACGCAAGATTTCGTTGCGTCTCCGATGAAATCAGATAAACATCCGCATATCATTGTTCTCATGGGTAATGTGTCGATTACAGTGCATTTGGCATTTGATATACATGGTTGAGACACCACACAAGGGTTTTTACAAATGCTATTGAAGCAGGCCAGTTTGCTTGGGCAGTCTGCATCTACTTTGCATTCTGCGTATTCTGTAACTTCTGAAAATAATAGTTAAATATTTTTATAGTTTTGTAAACTCAAGATAAAGACAAATTAAATAAATTATAAGTTATTCGAACTTTCATGCGATGGTACAATAAATTCAGAGTAGTTACAGGAATATTAACAAAATTTTAAATACGCGTGTTGTTGGTGTAATTGTTCAGAAAGTTAAACAAGAGTTACACAATGGATTACATTTATGTTTTATATGAACTCAATTTATGACAACAGATTGTAGAAAAAACAACTAAGGTGTGTGTCTTATGACCCTTCGAAGAAGTGACACTTTAAAACAGTTTGGTATGAGACTCAACGTAATAAAAACTGAAAATTGTGAAAATTGTCTTTTTTGCCTATCTTGTTTTTCGTTTAAGATATAAATATTTTCTCTTTTATTTTAAAGGTAATATTGTCATGAAATTGATTAAAAATATTCTTTGCACGTTTGTATTAATATCATAGACGTGCTATAATTTTTTACTTTTATTTTATAAATAAACAAAAATTTTGATGTTACATTATTTCATTGATCTATTCATTTTTATTTATGCATCTCAATGATCTTTACATTTTACGTTTTTGGCTTTGACTTCTAGGCATGCCTTTTTTGTGTTCGGAAGGTTCTAAAGACAACTTTTAAAAGAAATTTATGCATATCTGTACTTATTTTTTCATCATATTATTTATATTTTTTGTAAGTTTTATTTAAATTCTACGAAGATTTTAATCAAACACAACGAATAAGAGGTTATATTTTTAAATTGACCCCCTGTCTCGGATACATGTAACTAAATGATACTGTAACAGGTAATCAGTACAGGAGAGTCATTTGCGTTTGTCTAAACACTGCGCAAGCCACGAGGAAGAAGGGCTGGAAAGAGAGGGGAGCATCATAATGTGTGCGAGAGAGAGAGGAGAGACAACCCGAACAGAAATGAAAGTCGGTTGCCTCTCTAGTTCGTGAGGCCCTACTTAGGCAGCTTACTGAAGGCACAAGTAGGGGCGTCAAGGGGCGTGCGTGAGGTACTCATTAGGCAGCCTATATAACCTACCTTTATCTTACTTCTCGAGTAGTATATGTAGTTGTATACAGTTGCAGTGTAAACTGTAGCATAAAATTATACACAGGTACACAAGTTACAAGTGTCTTTCATTGAGTCCTATACAAATGATTAATGAGTATTCTTATACATATGAAACTAACAAAATCAATCGACATTAAATTTGTTGTCAACTAAACAAAGTTTTCCAAAGTACTGAATTAGAAATAATAATTGTTGCTTCAAAAAATATCAATAAAAACTATTTAAAAACCGTACTAAGATTATGAAATTTAACGTTCAACAGCTTGTACACTGTCATTTTTTGATGTCCACCGTCAAATCAAGTTTATCTGTTATTTAATTGAATCAATATGTTTTTGCATGAAAGAAAAGTAAACCGCAGTGTGAGCATTTAATTTGTGTTAGTTTCTTGGTGATTTTTTAATAGTTCCTCAGAATTAACTCACGAATCACATGTTCAAATGGTAAACTTGATATCAATTGTGAATGAGATATTTTTAAGGTTACATTTATATCTTCATTCACATAAAATTTTATTTATCTTAGGGTCATATTTTTGTTATTACACGTGATCAAGAATACCGCAATGAAAAATTTTCATGAAGAAATTAAATATGATTCGTTTGAAATGAAGCATGACTTTTGTTTAATTATAACACACTGTGTATTCTCATATGTACATATCTATATTTATCGATTGAAAGTTGGTATGTTACGTCAATGGAGGCAGCCTACTTAGGGCCTACCAAACGCCACCTGACGTTGCCAACGTAGGACCTCAGTTGGCAAGAGAGGCAGCCTTAGTAGGCCCTACTGATTGCCTACTTACAATCTACGTTTGGGAAGCGTCTTGATATGCATATTAGCGCGAGACGCTCTTGGCTATTAAGTCTGAAGAGATTAGGTATAGCTATTTGGGAAGAAGTTGTAAGCCGAGCGCTGGCCTTATCCTGTCACCTCTACGGGCTCGTGCATGAACACCGACGTGAGAGCATCCTGAGTTAGTCTAGGGTTAAGCTGGCCACTCAGCAAGCAGACGTGACCGAGGGTTAAACAAATCTGTCCACGTTGTAACGTGAGTATGTCACCGTGGATACCCAGGAAACACAGTCTTGGTCATAGCACTTTAATTTTATTTATTAGTGGCTATGAGAGCCGTAAGCGAGTGTCGACACCCCATTACAATACATATACGCACGTTTATGGATGTACAAGTTATTCCTTATTACCAGTAATGTTCTCCGACGGGGATGTATTATGTACAATGCACACATTATTTATAAATATATGGATATACAATATGTTCTAATATTATATATGTTATATAATATATGAGAGAGAGAAAGAGATACAGTTAGCATCCGATGTAAAACCGTACAAAACGTTGAAAAAAAAAAAAAAGTATCTTTCAGTTAATATTGGTTCATTAAGTTATAAACTATCTGTTGCCAATTTTATTAGAGTTTTGCTATTACACTAACAGAGCACGGTGCTTTAAAAAAAAAGATAACATAGTTTAAACGAATGATTTAAAACATGACCTATATATTAAGTTTCAAAACCGAGTTATTTTACCCTTGATACATCCAGAGTAAGCATCACCAGTATAACCAGGTGGACAGCGACAAACTGGTCTATGGTTAACTACGAAACACTCAGCACCGTTAGGGCAATCACAGGGATCAACACAGCGCTGATCTCGACAGGCCAAGTTATAAGCACACTCTTGATCCATTGTGCACTGAGGTCTCTTACAATGCTCGTAAGGATTGCCAAAGTAGCCATCCTGGCAGTAGCATCGGCCTTTGTGGTAACCATCGACTTGGCAAAGTGCATTTAGGCCACACTGAGTAACCAAACAGGAGTCGATACACTGGCTATTGATGCAGGACTGACTGAGAGGACATTCGTCATTGCTACGGCAGCCAACTGGAATGTAATTTAAAATCAGTTTTTTAATTCTTTTACAATAATTGACTCGCTATGTTAGCTATGAATACTAGTATTCACAAAAACTTAATCTTTTAAATCGCAATAAAAATATATTTTTCCAACGTAGTTATCATTACATTTGAATAACGTTTCTTACGTTCTCTACAGTACTGATGCGGATTTCCAGTATATCCTTCTGAACAAATGCAAACAGCCCTGTGGAGTTGAACATGACACTGGCTGTTTTGTCCGCAGGTGTCGAGTGAGCACGGACTGATGCACTTTTGATTGTAGCATGTCTTATCATTTATACAATCCGAGTTATCTCTACATTCCGGCTGTATCACTGAAAAAATTTTTTTGATTTAGAAAACTAACAGAATTTGATTTGTTAAATTTTTTTATATCTTAGTGTACGTAAACTTAAATGAAATAATATTTTCGTTATACAGAGCTCCTTGTATTTTTACAAACGCTAAAAGTGTAAAATTTTATCACCTAGATTTTTGATCTGTGTATATAGCTCTAAACAATTAGATTGCTTAGTATGTTACTTAATCTATTAATCTAATTAGCTAAAAACTGTAATTAAGTTAAGGCTTTTTATTTAGTACCATATTCACAGTACACGAGAAAAAAGGCTCCATTATTAAAAAAAAGAAAAATAGTTTTTTAAATAGCTACAATTGAGATAAATTATAAAAAATAAGGATATGTTCACGATTACAAAACAGTTTTACTTAAATTAAACAGAATTACTTGTATCATTTAAAATGTCCCACTTTCACAAATGACTTTGCCGGGTTCCGGTTTTCAGCAAAAAACTACATTACTAATACAAATACAAAAGTTTACAAATTTACGTCAATAGGCCAGAATAAAAACAAATACAAAAGATTTTTCTGCTCATTTAGTACTAACACTAAATTCTTATAAACACTTTATCAGTGTATTTCATTTACAGTATTAGTATATAAGCTTGAAACTTTATCAAAATAAAGATGTTATAATACTAAATATACGTGCCTATTTGAAGCACCATTCCTCGTATACTTACAAAACGACAGAACTGCAGGAGTACAACGAATTACTAATTTTTTATTCATTCAAATCCATAAGTATATTTGAATTTGAAGAATACTTTTCAATAGAAAAGCTGATATTGTACAAATTATACAATTGTGCCTTGTATGCAGTAAGCTTGTCTATTACACTAATTAAACTGCTATATCATTTTCATTTCTATTGTATCATTAAATTATTGGTATATTTTTGCATTCAAAAATTTTTTATAAAAATGACAACCGCATCGATAGTTTCAAAATTTTTTCATCAAAAGGGTGTAATATGTACGTGTTTAATACACTTACGTTGTTCGACTACAGCTCGACATTCTAAGAATGCATTACCCATGAATCCTGTTGAGCATGAGCAAATGGCCTTGTGATTGATGGTACGGCAAATCGCGTTGATACCGCAAGCACCGATACAAGGATCGTGACATTTTTGTAAAAAGCAAGCTCTGTCTCGTGAACAATCAGAGTTAACAACACACTCAGGATATGTGCAGTATGGTACTCCATTGCGCACAAGGCACTCTCCGTTGCTCGAGCATGGACTAGGATTACATGGATCTGGCTCTGTTATATGAAAAAAATTATTTATTTTATATAGTGGTATGTGCTACTTAATTTTTTATTTTTCGTGATATAATGATTTTTATAAGAAACTAATACTAACATATTAGAATATAGTTTTCTAAACTTTTTTTTTGTTATTATTAAAATACGTCTTATAAGAGTTACTTACAAACGCACGAGAATTTTTTTTTTTTTGAAAACAAGGTAAAGAATTTTTTAGTTTTGTTTTTAATAGAGTATTAAATACAATATAAATTTAAAGACTTCACATTGAAAAGGAAGTTCATACGTACGATTTGTTTCTTGTTAAAAATTTAGGACACATTAGAAATTGTTACGTACAATAAATAAAAAACTTTCTACGTTAATAAGGGTTTGAAATCGCTTTTGAAAGGTCAAATACAAAAATGTGTCATTATGTAATGTATTATCATGTATCAAATCAGCTAGCTCAGAAATATTGCTATTTAAATATTTAATATGCAGTAAGTAAGAAACTACACCTTGTACGTAGACCTAGACATTGATCATGGAATAAGTTATTACTGTACTATATGTTTACGTGATATTCATAGAAAAAAAAACTCCAATGTATCATACAAAACTTCTTTATTTTTATTTGGTTTTAATTGGTTGTATGTAATTACTTACACAACATAAAATATTTTTCTTTTGATTGTATCAATCTTTATTTACTATAATAAAATTGCTCATAACTTTTTTACCAAACAATTTAAGAAGAAATCGTTTTAATGAGCTTATAACTAAATCATATATTTACAAAAAGACAAACTTGTAGTGAAAATTTAATGTGCCATCTTCTTACTTTTTCGCTAAATTTTTAAGTAATTTATCTGTCCAACCATACAATTACATTCAGTCATATTATTGTCTCCGATATTTTAACTGAATAGTAAATATTCTGATTATTCAGTCTTCTGACAGAAACTTACTTTTTTTATTATGAAGTCAATAAGTTATGAAACTTAGTGGAAGAGTTTAATGTCTAAGGGTACGTATTGAGACAGAAATACAGAGGCAAAAATATAGAAATGTGGAAATATATATATGAGTATTCTTACTTATGCTGACACTCTATAAACAAAAAGCTTATTTATGCAGACTTTTACTGACTTACGCTGACTGTCAGCATAAGTTTTGAATGTTATAAGTAAATATCTTAAAAGTGCGTAGAATTTGCATAAGTCAGTTTTTACGTGTGCACGCACGCACATACCCATACGCACGCACATACCCACATGAATGCACACACACGCATATATACATACAAAGAGCGCGTGGTGGCTCAGTCAGCTAGGTCGTGGATTGGCACGCGGGAGACCGTGGTTCAATTCCCGGCCAGTGCGACTTTTCGGGCAAGTACCTCTGTGATTTTTCACATGTGTTTTTTCACCACGCAATGCTCCTCAAGGAGGGTTTAGGCGACCTTCTCGCAGCAATAATTGCCTAATTTTCCCCTACCCCCCTCCCAGTAATGGGAGGCCTCCCATCCCTTTCCTTGTCCCTTTCCCAAGTGCTAAGTGCCCATAGTAGTGCCCTTATTAAAAGGAGCCGGACGTAGAGCACTATAATATAAAAAAAAAAAAAATCTCATATGNAGGAAAACTACAACGTTTGAAGCTTTGGAGCTAGTTGTAGAGCTCTTCCCCAACGTCTCCTGGTATACTGTCGAAGATGTTGGTGTCTAAAGCACCTTCTTTTTTTGCAAACTCAGTTGTTTTGATAATCTAAGGTGGAGAGATTGATTCGTGATGCTTACTCGTTGAAGACTGTCCCATTGGCTCAAGTTTATTTTTATTTCATACCTGTTATGTTCTCTTAGCGCAGACCTTGGAGAAGATTGGCGATTTCTAGTTGAATACTTAGAGTCAAAAGTGTAATATAGGGTTATCAGTCACTGGGGTTGTCAGCTTTGCGACGAGCAACTCTACTCGTGACGACTACCAGTAAATAACTGACTTGATTTAATAGTAGCCGGCTTTACATAGTCCTTCAACGAATCGTTTCCGAAAATGGTAGTAAACATGTATTTGTTGTGTATTTGTTGGCAAGTTAGTTTAATCTTAGGGGGCCCTTAAAAGAACCGATGAGATTGATGGTTCAGTATAGGGAATGTAAATACTTTTAATGGCGTTGAAAAAGGCCAGTGGTGAAATTTCTAGTTATTCCTTATTATTGTTCTTGATGATGGAAAGCCAGCAGTGGGTAGCTTGACTTTTTTCCTTAGAGTCTTTGTGTACGGAGACCGTACTGGAGGTACGACGCTAACCAAAGAATATCTCGTCTTCAGGTCGTTTCCCGTATAACCAACCGCTCATCGTTAGTAGGCAAAGTGGGCCTGAAAGATACGTTCTCTGTAGGTATACTGTTGGGACGACCACTTAGAAGGAGGCCGTTGTGGCTGCCCGTACTCTTCAGTGCTGTCTTCCTTGGCTAGCATTTGAAGTAGAAATTTTTCTGCGGGCACCAGGCCGGACGGTTGAACGTGAACTCTGGAGTGATGGATTAGTTTGTACTGTGCTCTAGCTAGACACGTCTCCTGGTATTTTCCAGGTGACGTTGATGTTCCGAACCCCTATATTTTTCCGTGTCACTTAGTTATCTTGGTGATCCGGGGTACAACCGATTTATTTTACTTGCCCATGAAAGAAGAGTGTCATCGGTAGCCGCCATGCCCAGCTGCACGACTAACAACTTTGTTCTTGGTGTACTATCGATGAACGGCTACGATATTCTACAACTCGATGGGGCATCTTACAACCACTCTTCACTATGTCTGACTGCCTTTGGCTTCAGTTTTACCTCGACGTCACCTAGCGGATCCTACTAAACTACAGCTCAATTTTACCTCAGTTCAGTAAAACTTTGAGCTTATTTATCGCTATTGTTATTAACTTTTTCAAGAAAAAGATCTATGCAAAAACCATCTCGGAATCATCAAGAATCAGTATGCGAAATTCCAGCAAAATCAATTCAGTAGTTTTCGCAGTTAGCGATCACAGGTACTCTTATTGGAAAAAGAGTATTTTACAGATTGCGATTTAAAAAAATTCCAGATTTTGCTGAAATTAAAATATAATGTAAAATAGTATGTTTTAAACATCATCATCGAAGAACAGCACCCGTAGTTTTACCGTTGTTTAGTTATCACAAATTAAAAGTATGGATTTAAAGATTCGTGAAGATGTTGCAACGGAGATTTTACCCTTAACTCAATGTTGACGTACAACATAACCACTAAACGTATGTATACGTATACGTTTTGATATACAGAGAGTTTTCTCCTCATACGGCGGATTTTAATTTTATTATTTTAGTCGCCACATTTATTTTTACTTGTCTGTTTCGGAACACATAATGTATTTCAGAACACGCATTGACTGTACACAATGACACTACCCCCTTAAGAAGACTAACAGAAAATCAGTGCGGCACATGTTTATCTCTATTTAGTCATACAGACTAATTTTTATTGGCCCTCTCCAGAAAACTTGGCAACACAGAAGAAATCAACAACTTACTGTATCATATTAAAACAATAACGCAATGTGAATATGAGTCGGTTGTGAATTATTGCAGATGCATCCAACGGCTTTATAACAGTATCATGATGTTACACGAGACAAGCCCCTTTTATGTCACAGACTGAAAAAGTTGCGGCAAAAACAAAGCCAGATAAAAAGGCATTGTGACACTTTATTTATGGCTTAAGTACTCCCTATAGCTAAAATGTACTGGGCTGTAAGCCAGACCCATTACAGAAAGCCATTCAGGCAGCTATCACTATAGATAATGAAATGAGTCTGCGGAGGGAAACAATAGGCAATCAGAAAAGAAAATATAATGCGAACTATCTTAAAAGACGACGAAATGTAATGGTAGGCCTCATCAATAGCAAACCACCTATAGCAAAAGCGGATATAAATGAATGGAGTGACACCCGTAAAGACAAAAATTGGTACACGCTCTATCAGCAGGTACGAACAATCATGGCAAGACGTGGAGAAAAAATCTAAAACTTTCTGAAGAAATAAAGAAAGAAATCAGTTATGAGAAGCATTACAATGAAAATAGTGATTGTTACGAATGAAACTCTTTCCAATTAAGAAAGTAAAGACCTATATAGCTAAGGGCTAGAGTTATAGGGACTTAGCTATATACGATAGTCAGTGAAAGAAAGTATGTTCTATTTTTTAACTTATACGTAACTTAAGTTGTACACGAGTGACGGACTAGAAACTGGAATAAAGCACGAGAAAATTTAGCAAAGCACCGGGATAGTGTGCCAAACAACAGGGTAGAGTAAAGTCTTTGCTTGCTGTCACGTCATAAGTTGAAATTATGAGTTCCTGCGCCCTAAAGTGGCTAGTTAATGAGGAACGAAACCTGGATAGGAATGTCATAGACAGCCTATGCCGTGTAGGTGACAGGTACTCTACCTCAGATTCAAAGTAATGTAAAATACACGGGTGCGCCGGTCTCAGTCCGTTTCTCGTATGGTAATATAAAATAAAATGTAAGTGTGTATTGTAGTTAAGTGTGCTGGCGTCGATAGATAGGTAATTTTGTTTACGCGAGGGTGGAGGGAAAAGGGAGAGTTCAGTGGCGTGCGGGGATGAGGAGGCGTGCGAGCGAAATGAGCAGTTGCTCACTGACTGCGGTCTAGAAAGGTAGGTGTTGGCGTCAGCCCCATTTTATAATCTAACATGAATAAAAGAAATTCGTTGATACTAGTTAACTCCTTTGGTTTAGTTTTTTTTTTTAATTCACGCATGTCCTATCACTTCCCTCGGTCCTGTCGTCAATAATGATCATGATAATTATAACTGCCAAAGGGCCAATGACCATAGAAGTTTTGGCGTGTTCCGAGGTCAATATAATAGAGGTACTTATAGAAGGGATAATTATGATAAATATAACGACAGACGAAATGATAATTTTGGCAAGGGAGGAGGTCACAGCTCTTATGGGATCGGTAC